ATAATCCCAGCATTCTGGGAGGCCAAGGCGGGTGGATCACCTGTGGTCAGGTGTTCGAGACCAGCCTGACCAACATAGAGAAACCCCACCTCTACTAAAAATACAAAATTACCCAGCTTGGTGGTGGGCACCTGTAATCCCAACTACTTGGGAAGCTGAGGCAGGAGAATCACCTGAACCCGGGAGGTGGAGGTTGCGGTGAGCCAAAATCACACCACTGCACTCCGGCCTGGGTGACCTGGAGAGACTCTGTCTCAAAAAACAACAACAGGCCGGGCGCGGTGGCTCAAGCCTGTAATCCCAGCACTTTGGGAGGCCGAGACGGGCGGATCACGAGGTCAGGAGATCGAGACCATCCTGGCGAACACGGTGAAACCCCGTCTCTACTAAAAAATACAAAAAAACTAGCCAGGCGAGGTGGCGGGCACCTGTAGTCCCAGCTACTCAGGAGGCTGAGGAAGGAGAATGGTCTAAACCCGGGAGGCGGAGCTTGCAGTGAGCTGAGATCCGGCCACTGCACTCCAGCCTGGGCGACAGAGCCAGACTCCATCTCAAAAAAACAAAACAAAAAACAAAACAAAAAAAAAACAACCACCAAAAAAAAATGAGAACTGAGGTATAGAAAGGTTACATAACTTGCCTCCTAGAGTTATTACACTGGGTGAATGGGCTGGGATTCCAACCCAGGTCATCTGGCTCCCATGTAGGTAGGTCTGGACCCACAGGTAGAGGGGACAAGACAAATTGCCAAGCCTCAGGACCAGGTAGAGCCAGATAGGATCAATAACCTCTCCAGCAGTCGTCTCCAACCTAGCAGGTGTGGGAGAGGCCCTGTGACAGGGGTGGGAGAAGGCTTAGTGGGGCAGGCAGTCCACCCACTCCTCCTCCAAGACAGTCCAAAGCAATAGGTGGCAGCAAGCCCCCAAGGGTGGGTGGAACACGGGAAGCCACCCCAGCTGGTATTTTCCTTGGATCATAGTGTGGATGTTAAAAAAACACACCCCCCCTCCACCCAACAGCTGCACAGTCTGGAGCAAATATACACGCTCACCACACACACACGCAAGACCATATATATATATATATATATATATTTTTTTTTTTTTTTGAGACGGAGTCTCACTCTGTCACCCAGGCTGGAGTGCAGTGGCACAATCTGCGCTCACTGCAAACTCTGCCTCCCAGGTTCATGCCATTCTCCTGCCTCAGCCTCCCGAGTAGCTGGGACTACACGTGCCCGGCACCACGCCCGGCTAATTTTTGTATTTTTAGTAGAGACGGGGTTTCACTGTGTTAACCAGGATGGTCTCGATTTCCTGACCTTGTGATTCACCTGCCTTGGCCTCCCAAAGTGCTGGGATTACAGGCGTGAGCCACAGCACCCAGCCCAATATACTTTTTTAAACTTTATTTTTATTTCTATTTATTTATTTTTAATTTAAAAAAATCTAATTAGAGATGAGGTCTTAGGCCAGGCACAGTGGCTCATGCCTGTAATCCCAGCACTTCGGGAGGCTGAGGCAGGCAGATCACAAGGTGGGAGGATCACGAGGTCAGGAGTTCAAGACCAGCCTGGCCAATATGGTGAAACCCCATCTCTGCTAAAAATACAAAAATTAGCCAGGTGTGGTGGTGTGTACCTGTAATCCCAGCTACTCGGAAGGCTGAGTAAGAATTGTTTGAACTCAGGAGGCAAAGGCTGCGGTGAGCTGAGATCGTGCCACTGCAGTCCAGCCTGGGAGACAGAGCGAGACTATGTCTCAAAACAAACAACAACAACCACGACAAAAAAAAACCAGAGATGAGGTCTTGGCATGTTGCCCAGGCTGGTCTCAACTCCTGGGCTCAAAGGATTCTCCTGCCTTGGCCTCCCAAAGTGCTGGGATTACAGGCGTAAGCCACTGCACCCACCCTACTTTTTTTTTTTTTTTGATACAGGATCTCACTCTGTCACCCAGGCTGGAATGCAGTGGCAAGATCACTGCTGACTGTACCCTTGACCTCATGGACTTAAGTGATCCTCCTGCCTCAGCCTCCCGAGTAGCTAGGACTACAGGAGAGCGCCAGTGCACCTGGGTAATTAAAAGAAGATTTTTTTGTAGAGACAGATGCTATGTTGCCCAGGCTGGTCTCGAACTCCTGGCCTCAAGTGATCTACCCACCTTGGCCTCCTAAAGTGCTAAGATCACAGGCATGAGCCACTGCACCCAGCCTAAGATAGTTAATATCCACTTCAAGGCTGCTCAGAGGGCCTGAGAGGAACAAAGGGCTCAGCTCTGGAGAGCTCCATCCCCAGCGCCAATCTCTCTAAATGGCCTCTTTCCTCTCCACATACCACCACAAGGGTTGGAGTCCAGCTTCCTGTGACCTTAAGTCACCATTCCAAAACCCTGCAATCTCATCCAGCGACCACAAATGAAATAATGAATATTATAATCCTGAGAAGTTTAGTGGATCAAGACGGCATGCCATCAAGATGCTGAGAAACAAAGAGGCAGATGGGACCGGGGGCCCAGAAGATGCTGGAACCCACAGTACTAAAAGCTCAGAGAGGCTGGGCACGGTGGCTCACACCTGTAATCCCAGCACTTTGGGAGGCCAAGGTGGGTGGATCGACTGAGCCCAGGGGTTTGAGACCAGCCTGGGCAACACGGCGAAACCCAGTCTCTACCAAAAAAATATACAAAAATTAGCCAGGCATGCTGGTGCATGCCTATAGTACCAGCTACTTGGGAGGCTGAGGCAGGAGGATTGACTGAATCTGACAGCACACCATTGCACTCCAGCCTGGGTGACAGAACCAGACTCAACCTCAAAAAAAAAAAAAAAAAAGAAAAAAGAAAAAAGAAAAAAAGCCCAGAGGGGAGGCTCGACAGTTTTCCAGCCCCTTCCACATCCTTCTTAACCTCACTAGATACTGTCCAAGTCCTACCTTAGGCAAGGCAGAAATTATAGGACCAAGCCGTCAAATGGGGAAATTGAGTCCCAGAGAGGAGTAATGCATTATTTAAGATCCCATGCAGGACTATGAGTCAGGGGTCCAAGAGCCCTTCCACCTTGTGCCACTCAGAGACACAGAGTAGGAGGGGGAAGGGGGTCGGGTGGTAGGGGACAAAAGATGCGGGAGGCAAGCAGCAGTGACTGAAGAGGCAGAGGCTGCCATGGAAGACCCGGGAGCAGGGAATCTTTCCTCACCGTCTCCAGGGGAGGCTTCCTGAAAAACCCTGCATTCCCTCTGTGGGTTGATCAGGGAACCACTCTCCTACTAGCTGGGTTTTGTGTTTTGTTTTGTTTTGTTTTTTTGAGATGGAGTCTTACTCTGTCGCCTAGGCTGGAGTGCAATGGCGTGATCTCAGCTCACTGCAACCTCCGCCTCCCGGGTTCAAGCAATCCTCCTGTCTGAACCTCCCAAGTAGCTGAGATTACAGGCACCTGCCATCATGCCTGGCTAATTTTTGTACGTTTGTAGAGATGGGGTTTCGCCATGTTGGCCAGGCTGGTCTCCAACTCCTGGCCTCAGGTGATCTGCCTGCCTCTGCCTCCCAAAGTGCTGGGATTGCAGGCATAGGCCACCGAACCCTGCTAGAGCTGGGTTTTAACAGGAAGAGAAGAGCCAAAAATCCTCACATAGAATCAGACAGCACTTGACAGTTTCCAACCTCATCATCACTGAAGTTTAGAGCAGCCCATACCCATAAAGATGATCTCCCCATCCCCCCAAGTTACCCACTGTGCAGAGGGAGATCGACACTTAAGAGATAGGAAGCAACTTCCAGAAGTCCATAGCAACCCAGTCCCAGGAATCTAGGTTTCCTGACCAGGGCATAGCAGAAAGGGTCCATTCCTTTCCTTGCTTGTACCTTCACAGAAGCTTCCTGGACAGAGCCCTGGGGTCCAGGAGACCCGTTATTCATTCCCAGCTATGCTGAGACTTACTAAATGACCTTGGGGACTCCTTCTAGAGAATTTAAGTTCCACGAGTGCAGGAATTTTTATCTATTAGTCCTTGATGTATCTCCAGCCCTAGAACAGTGTTTGGCCCATAGTATGTGCCCAAAAATATCCATTAAATGAATGTTCTGTGCATGGTGGTGCATGCCTGTAATCCCAGCAGTTTGGGAGGCTGAGGCAGGAGGATTGCTTGAGCCCAGGAGTTAGAGACCAGCTTGGACAACATAGTGAGACCCCATCTTGTAACAATTTTTAAAAATAAAAAATGAGTGAATATCTCGATAGCCAGGATTAGAGAAGTGTCACAGTCAGAAAGACTGAAGCCTAAAGAAGGCCAAGGAACCAGGGTCTTCATCCTCAGATACATGAAAGGCTAAGATTCTGTCCACAAGTATTTATAGAGGGCCCGTAATGTGCTTGGTACTGAGCTAGGAACTCCCCAGATTCAGTTAAGAACAAAGTCATTACCTGCCTCAGATGCAAGGCAGGGTCTGGGGGGTGTGAGTGGCAGGGAAGGCAGCGTGCAGAGACACTTTTCTTAGCCTGAGCTGCCCTGACATAGTCTGACAGCCCACAAGGTGGTGAGTGCAGCCGGGCTGTAGTGTTCAAGGAGGGCGCCGGCTGGCTGCCCACCTGTCAGAGGCTGCGCCAGGAGGATGCGGAAGAAGAGGTTTCTGCCTTGGCTGAGGTCAATTTCCACCCCTAGATTCCCTGCCCACACAACCCTGCAATTTTCTGACGCTGACGACTCGGATCCTATTATTTCCCGATTTTCAAGGTCCCATGATGCTGACAGCCCCAAATGCTAAGTCGTCAGTCCGCCCACGCCCCTGGACCCGAAAGCAATAAAGGCGAAGTCAGCAAGGGTCCTACCACCCACTGCCTCGAAAGGCCTCTGGGAGTGGTGGGCGCGCCCCTCCCCACCTCGCGGGGGCCGTGTGGGCGTCGTTCGGTGGTCGGAGTGCCGGGGACGTTGTGATGAAAACAGCGTCCCAGAGACGGCGCTGACCGAGCCGGGACACGTGACAGTCACAGCGTCACATTCTGCGGTCCACGAGTTTGGGACCGGGTTGGTCACGTGACGCGGTGGGGGCACCATGGGGTGATGTGAGATGCGGGTGCCTCAGATTACGTACAAATGACGTATTCCTACCCCTTTTGGCAACCAGATTTCCGTTGGAAGATGCAACGGTTCCGGTGACGGTAGCCAGTTCTCGCGTCCACGCAGCTCCGCTTCCGCTCGGGGCGCAACAACTTCCGACTCCACCTTCCGCGCCTCGGGCGAGGAAGAGACGCGACCATATGCGCATGCCCCGAATTTATCACGGAGGGGCGGGGCTGAGGCTGCGGGAGCTGGAGGGGGGAAGAAAAGGGAATTCCAACCTGTGGAACCTTGGGGGGTCCCCGGGGTCGGCGCCTTCCCATTGACTGTGGGCGGTGCAAGGGACGGAGGCTCTGGTGGCTCGTGGGGGTGTTGGGGTCCACAGGGGGAGGGAGGGGAGTGTCAGAGTGTGAGTGGGGTACGGGTATTCCAAGTTTGCCGGCCTCCCGGTCTGACGCCGGGGAGGGAGAGCTCAGGCCGCCATGCGGGACAGGACCCACGAGCTGAGGCAGGTGAGACGCCAGGGCAGCGGGGATGGGGGCGCGCGGACGAACTGGAACGCAGGACTCCTGGTCTTCGGGGTAGGGAGGGGTGGCTGATGGCCAGGAAGGAAAGTCCCGGAAGCCTGTGGGTCCTGCGGGGTGACAGCCGCAGCGAAACAGTGGTGCCAATGACTCCGGGCCTGGCAGGGGGATGACAGCTCGGACGAAGAGGACAAGGAGCGAGTCGCGCTGGTGGTGCACCCAGGCACGGCACGGCTGGGGAGCCCGGACGAGGAGTTCTTCCAGAAGGTAAGGGGATGGAGTCTTGGCCTGGATTCGCGAGGGGGTAGGAGGACCCGAGGAGCAGCGTGGTCTGGAGTACCCCATATCTCTTTCAGCCCTCTCGGTCACCCTCCCCAGGTCCGGACAATTCGGCAGACTATTGTCAAGCTGGGGAATAAAGTCCAGGAGTTGGAGAAACAGCAGGTCACCATCCTGGCCACGCCCCTTCCTGAGGAGAGTGAGTGAAACCCCGGCTGCATAGCGCATGCTCCGCCCCAGGGATTGTGGGGGTTGTAGTTCCACGCAGGTGGTGGCCAGGGTGGTTTGTTGAGGTGGGGGCTGCTGTTTGGGAGTCGTGGCCTTCTCTTATTCAGGCATGAAGCAGGAGCTGCAGAACCTGCGCGACGAGATCAAACAGCTGGGGAGGGAGATCCGCCTGCAGCTGAAGGGTGAGCTACTGGGACCTCAGGCAGATCCTTCCCTCTGATCCTGCCCTGTTGTTGGTATATCTGGGGAGTGTGTGGCCCAGAGAAGCCAGTGATATATCCAGGTCACACAGCAGGCCTGGTTCTAGCATCTCTGTCTTCTGGCCTCCAGGCCATTGTACTCTCCACAGCACAAGGCAGTCTCTCAGGTTCTTTTATTTACAATGAAACCATTTACTTACACAGTTATCACTGCCCACTGGGCATTCTTTGGGCAGGGAGATGGGGTTTTGTTAGGTGGCCTCTGCATTCCTACGGGAACTCAAGTGATGTAATGCAAAGAAAAATAAACTTACTTTCTCCTCTTGGAGGCTCAGCCTTAGTCATTTTATGATAAATTATATTTCCCTAAAAATCCTATGGAGACAAGTACCCCCAATACCCCTGTGTCTTCCCACAGCCATAGAGCCCCAGAAGGAGGAAGCTGATGAGAACTATAACTCCATCAACACAAGAATGAGAAAAACCCAGGTGGGTTTTTTTTCTCAGAAATGACATTTCAGCAAATGTTTCATGAAGTATTAGATGACAGATGTATGAAGGAAGGGCCTGTAGATGTCATGGAGTCCAATTGGATGATTTTTCCAAGTGGGGAACCTGAGCTCAGAGAGAGAAAGAACTTGCTCAAGGTCAGGAAACCAGGTCTCCTGATGCTCAGTCCGGTTATAACACCCTGCTTTATTTTCTTCCATTCAATAAGAAGTTACTTATTGACCCCAGACAAGACCTAGGCTTGACTGTGGGACACGTTTTCTTTTCTTTTTGCCTCAGCCTCCTGAATAGCTGGGATTACAGGTGGACACCACCATGCCGAGTTAATTTTTGTATTTTTAGTAGAGACGGGGTTTCCCCATGTTGGCCAGGCTGGTCTCGAACTCCTGACCTCAGGTGACCCTCCTGCCTTGGCCTCCCAAAGTGCTGGAATTACAGGCGTGAGCCACTGCGCCCAGCTGGGACACGTGTTTTCTAGGAGTCAACATGAGGAGTTAGGGTTCAATAGGGGATAAAGACATTACTCACGTGGGATCTGGTGGCTAATGGCGCTGCCCAGGGAAGGAGAGTGAGAAGTCACAAATTGACTGGCAGGTTTGCTATCTGTGTGACAGGGACATCCTTAGTCCCACAGGTGGAATTCAAGAAGTCAGGAAGTGGAACTTCCCTGGGGCGACACTGAAGAGGAACTCCCCTGGTGTAATATCTTTTTTTTAAAAATTATTATTATTTTTTTGAGATGGAGTCTCTCTCTGTCGCCCAGGCTGGAGTACAGTGGCACAGTCTTGGCTGACTGCAACCTCCACCTCCTTCAAGCGATAATCCTCCCTCAGCCTCACAAGTAGCTGGGATTACAGGCGTACACCACCACACCTGGCTAGTTTTTTATATTTTTGGTAGAAATGAGGTTTCACCATGTTGGCCAGGCTGGTCTTGAACTCCTGACCTCAAGTCCTCAAGTGATCCACCTGCTTTGGCCTCCCAAAGTGCTATGATTACAGGCATGAGCCACCGTGCACGGCCCCTGGGGTGATATCTTAGTAAGGAGATTTGCAGTGATCTGACTGGCCCTCTTTGTGTCCCCAGTGAGGAGGATACCAAGAGGTCAGGGTTGGAGTAGTTGAGCCCAGGGCTCAGCAAGGACCCCAGATTGAAGATGAAACAGCTTGGGCATCTTGGAAGGGTGCAGCTGGAACCAGGAGAGCAGATGTATCTCTGGAAAAGGAACTCCAAGGAATGAGCATATTTAAGGTCTCAGGAGAAGGGGCAAGGCAGAGCAGATGCCCCAGAGCCAGTGTTTCTGGGGAAGCCTGTGGTGGTGATTGGCATGAGTGGTCGAGGGCCCATGTGGGCCTGTTGCACCTGTTTCGCCCAGGCAGCATGTTCATCTCTAGGCATAAGGAACTGTGGTGTAGGCAGCAAGGTTGGCATTCAGCAAGCATTCAGCAGTTACATATTGGGTGCCTACTGTGTGCCAGACCTTTTTGGAACTGTTTAGGGTACAGCAGTGAATCAATGATCCCTATCCTCATGGAACTTCCCTTCTGGTGTAGACAATCACCATAATAAATAAGTGAATTATTTAGAACATAATAAGCATTAAGGAAAAAAGAGCAGGGGAAGAGGGACTGAGCATGCTGGAGGAGGGTAGCGTTGCAGTTGAAAGCAAGTGGAGGAAGCTTCATTCAGAAGGTGACATCTGAACAAAAGACTTAAAGGTGTTTGCGGGGAATGGGCATTCTAGGTAGAATGAGAAGTGAATGCAAAGGTTTAAGCTGAGAGTGTGCTTTGTCTAGGGAGGGCTGTAAGGAGACCAATGTGGATGGGCAGAGGGAGGGAACAGTAAGAGGAAGCAAGATCAGAGAGGGCTGGCCGTGCACCTTGGCTCACACCTGTGATCCCAGCACTTTGGAGGCTGAGGTGGGAGGATTGGTTGAGCCCAGGCGTTTGAGACCAGCCTGGGCAACATTGCGAGACCCCATCTCTCTCTGTTTGTTTTTTTGAGACAAGGTCTCACTCTGTCACCCAGGCTGGAGTGCAGTGGTGCCATCTCTGCTCACTGCAGCCTCCGCCTCCTGAGTTCAAGCCATTCTCCTGCTTCAGCCTCCCAAGTAGCTGGGACTACAGGCACCCACCACTGCACCCAGTTAATTTTTGTATTTTTAGTAGAGATGGGGTTTCACCATGTTGGCCAGGCTGGTCTTGAACTCCGACCTCAGGTGATCTGCCTACCTCAGCCTCCCAAAGTGCTGAGATTACAAGCATGAGCCACCGTGCGGGTCAACCCTGTCTCTATTGAAAATAAAAATAGGCCAGGTGCAGTGGCTCACACTTGTAATCCCAGCACTTTGGGAGGCTGAGGTGGGTGGATCACCTGAGGTCAAGAGATTGAGACCATCCTGGCCAACATGGTGAAACCCCATCTCTACTAAAAATACAAAAATTAACCATGCATGGTGATGTTCATCTGTAGTCCCAGCTACTTGGGAGGCTGAGGCAAGAGAATCGCTTGAACCCAGGAGGCCAAGGTTGTGGTGAACCAAGATTGCGCCACTGCACTCCAGCCTGGGCAATAAGAACGAAACTCTGTCTCAAAAAATAAATAATAAATAAATAAAAATAAAAAAGATCATGGAGGGCCACATAGACTTGCTAAGGGCTTTGGCTTTTTGTCTAAGAGAAATGGGGGAGCCTGTCAAGGTCATCACAAAGTGGTTAAGGTGGCAGACCCCGCATAAGAGCTCATGCTATTTGCTCACTTTACTATGGGATTGCCGAGGCCCAGACCGGGCAAGGATCCTCCCGGGGCACCCAGCCTATATTCTTCATCTTTAGCATGGGGTCCTGTCCCAGCAATTCGTGGAGCTCATCAACAAGTGCAATTCAATGCAGTCCGAATACCGGGAGAAGAACGTGGAGCGGATCCGGAGGCAGCTGAAGATCAGTGAGTTGTGTGTGCCCAGCCTGGCCTGCAGGGGCAGGTAATCCCAACCCAGCCCTGAGCCTGGCCTTTTCCTTCACAGCCAATGCTGGGATGGTGTCTGACGAGGAGCTGGAGCAGATGCTGGATAGTGGGCAGAGCGAGGTGTTTGTGTCCAATGTGAGTGGCCACAGCCAGCCCCTCTCTGCTGTGCCTCCCATCTCCTCTGATTCCTATCCCGTTCTTGACCTCCTGGGCTCAGGTGATCCTCCTGTCTCAGCCTCCCGAGTAGCTGGGACTATAGGTGTGAGCCACTGGACTCCGCTTGCTATGTCCCTTTCTGATTGAGGGGACCCTGAGGCCCCTAAGGGAATTAATGAGCTAACCTGGAGTCACCCATCAGATTCCAGGCTGAGGGCTCCCCAGAAGTTCAACAGGAGCTTCTGACCTGCTGTCGGTCTCCCTGTGAACAGTTGCCCCACTCCTGTCCACCCCCTAGATCCTGAAGGACACACAGGTGACTCGACAGGCCTTAAATGAGATCTCGGCCCGGCACAGTGAGATCCAGCAGCTTGAACGCAGTATTCGTGAGCTGCACGATATCTTCACTTTTCTGGCTTCTGAAGTGGAGATGCAGGTGAGTGCCCCGCGCAGCCCCAGACGTGATACCAGGCTCAGTCCAAACTGCCAGCCTCCTGCCACCCTTAGATCCTCTCCCTGAGGCTTTTGTGTCTTCCAGGTTTGGCCATCCCCCCAAATTGGTGCTTATTCTTATCTTTAGCTGTACCCCGAGAATGGCGCCTGCCTCTGCTGCTACCCAGATACCCACTCCCTTCTGCATAGCACCCTGCCCTCTCTCCAAAACTTGAGCCTGCCCAGGTCTGGCCCCAGCCCTGGCTCCCCCTCCACTAACAGCATCCACCCTGATACCTCTCAGAGGTTCAGTCAGAGTTGCCTTAGAGGGGCTGCCTCCTAACATCTGTACAAGGCTGGGGTGGGGGCGGTGTTCCCCTGGCCCTGGTTGCGTGAGTTGAGTTGAGCTTCCAGCCCTGTCCTGGAGGAGCTGGCCTCAGTCATGCTACAACCAATGCCCTTTTGCAGCTGAGACTTACAGGAAAGAGATCTCATTCAGTAGGAGCACTGAGACCTGAGGCTGGTGGTGCCAGGAGGAGGCAGGGATAGGGAGGGCTTTGCAGCAGCTGTAGATAGGCCTGGAAGAATGGGTAAATTCAGACAGATTTGTGAAGGCACAGTTCACCATCTGTGAAAGGTATGAGCCATTTGAGGTCCTTAGCTCCAAGCTACCACTGCAGATAGAGGTCATATGGGATAAGCGAGCAGGGGACAAGGGACTACATGATAGAAGGGACCTGGAAGCCATCTCCAAGGAGCCTGAACTTTTGTCAGATCGAGTCTTGCCCTTGTCTTTGTTAGTGCAATCTTTTTTTTTCCTGCCAGGAATGCTCTTCAGTCATCTGGGGTGGGGTGGGCAAAGGCATCCTTACCTCCCTGAATCACCCCATCCTCTGAGCAGGGGGAGATGATCAATCGGATTGAGAAGAACATCCTGAGCTCAGCGGACTACGTGGAACGCGGGCAGGAGCACGTCAAGACAGCCCTGGAGAACCAGAAGAAGGCGAGGAAGGTGAGCCTCCCAGGCCCAGCCTCTGCCCCAGGCACCCTGTGTGACTTCCCTGACCCCCTCCTCTCCCACAGAAGAAAGTCTTGATTGCCATCTGTGTGTCCATCACCGTCGTCCTCCTAGCAGTCATCATTGGCGTCACAGTGGTTGGATAATGTCACACATTGTTGGTGAGATGTTGTGGGCTGCCCTCTGGCCTGCCCCAGCCCTGGCCCCAGCCCTCCCTTCTCCCTCAGACCCTGTTCTCCCTCCTTTCCTTACAGGCACTAGGAGCACCAGGGACCCAGGGCCTGGCCTTCTCTCCCAGCAGCCTGGGGGACAGGGCAGAGCCTCCAGCTGGACCCCTTCCTCACACTGGCCCCTATGCAGAAGGGCAGACAGTTCTTCTGGGGTTGGCAGCTGCTCATTCATGGTGGCCTCCTCCTTCAGGCCTCAGTGCCTGGGGGAGGCCTGCACTGTCCTGATTGGTCGGGACACACAGTTTTGTAAAAAATTAAAAAACAAAAAAGAGCATAGAAAGCCCTGTGCACGTGTGTTCCTGGAAGGGCTGGCCCAAGGCTTCCGGGCATCCAACCTCCCTACCTCCTGGACGTCCCCAGGGCCAGGGCCAGGTCCAGCCCCGGCTGCTCAGGTCAAACTGCCATGGGTGCTGTGCCCACAGCAGGCTGGCTCTGCCTTTCTGCACCCCCATAGGAATGGGTAGGCAGGGAGGGGTAACACCTGCATCTAGCTCCTCGCTCAGTACTGTCCCCGGGAAAATGCCACTGTGAGTATCTGTCTTGGAAATAAGGCTGACCAGGCCAGGCTGGGATGCAGGTGAGATGGCGGTGTGTTGGGGGCATCAGTGGGCCTTCTTGTGGCCCAGAGGAAGAGGCACCATGAAGAACTGCCTAATTGAGGCTGTCACTTTGGATGCAGTGGACAGGGATGGTCTGGTTTCAGCAGGGATGACATTGGAGTGGAATGTTAAGTGGGGAGAATCTAGTTATGGAGAGAAGCTGGGGAAGAGGTTGCCAGGCAGAAAGCACAGGAGGCTGGGCCCTGTGACCAACAAAAGCATCATCTTTTACATAAGAGTTCAGGCAGGGCGTGGTGGCCCACACCAATAATCTCAGCACTTTGGGAGGCCCAGGCAGGAGGATCTCTTGAGCCCAGGAGCTTGAGACCAGCCTAGGCAGGATGGTGCAACCTCTTCTCTTTAGAGAATAATAATTTTAAAAATTAGCCAGGCGTGATGGTAAGTGTTTGTCGTCCCAACTACTCCAAAGGCTGAGGTGGGAGGATCGCTTGAGCCCAGGAGATTAAGGCTGCAGTGAGCCATGGTCATCCCACTGCACTCCATCCTGGGTGACAGAGTGAGACCCTGTCTCAATAATAGACCGGGTGCCTGTAATCCCACCACTGTGGGAGGCTGAGGCGGGCGGATCACGAAGTCAGGAGATCGAGACCATCCTGGCTAACACGGTGAAACCCCATCTCTACTAAAAATACAAAAAAATTAGCTGGGCATAGTGGCAGGCGCCTGTAGTCCTAGCTACTCGGGAGGCTGAGGCAGGAGAATGGCGTGAACCCAGGAGGTGGAGCTTGCAGTGAGCCAAGATTGCGCCACTGCACTCCAGCCTCGGTGACAGTTAGACCCCATCTCAAAAAAAAAGAAAATAATAATAATAATAATAATCAGCAGCAGCATAGAGAGCTGGTGATCCTGGATCAGTGCACCTGGTGGCTGAGGGATACCTGGCTGAAGCAGTAAGTGGCAGCAGATAAGCCTGACCCCTGATTTCTTCCATAAGGTACCTCAGATCCAAGCCTGACTAAATTTCTTTCTTTTTTTTTTTTTTCTTTTTGAGACAGAGTCTTGCTCTTTCGCCTAGGCTGGAGTGCAGTGGCGCTGTCTCAGCTCACTGCAAGCTCCGCCTCCCGGGTTCACGCCATTCTCCTGCCTCAGCATCCCGAGTAGCTGGGACTACAGGCGTCCGCCACCACCCGGCTAATTTTTTGTATTTTTGTATTTTTAGTAGAGACGAACATTTCACCATGTTAGCCAGGATGGTCTCCATCTCCTGACCTCGTGATCCACCTGCCTCGGCCTCCCAAAGTGCTGGGATTATAGGCGTGAGCCACCGCGCCCCGCCAGCCCTGACTAAATTTCTAAGGGCTCCTAGTCCTGATGCCTAATTTTTGGAGTGGACGTGGCTCCTGTTCCCTGACACCTAGTTTTAAAGGGTAAACCGGCTCCTGGCTCCTGCCTGTTTGCAGTAGGGTGGCGCCTAGCTCTGACCTCCAAGGTCTGGGGACTGCGTCGCAGCCGCCCAGTCCATCCCACTTTCAATCCTACAGGCCCCTGCTGTTGCTGCCGCTGCCGCTGCTCCTAGCTGCCCAGTCTGGCGGGCTCAGTCCCGCATTGCCACGCATGGGAGACCGCCTCGCGGAAGCGCTGGATGTGGCTTCGCTGATGCACGTTGGACCGGGCCCTGGACTGGGCTAGGGGAAGGGCAGGAGGGCGGAATTGGGCCCGAGGGCCGGGCCTGGCCGACCCCCGACTGCTCTGCCTCCATGGAGGCTGGCGGCCCCGCAGAGCCTCCCGGTGGCCCTGGAGTGCGGGTTGTCCTGTCCGAGATCACCCACAATTGGGCGAGATCACCCGCAATTGGGCGAGCTGTGCATGGGACGTGGCCGAGGCCGTGGTTTGGTTGCAATTGGCCAGCGGGACCTAAGTGTTGTCTCTGAAGAGCATGGGCATTAGTCTGGAGGGTCCTGGGAGAGTGATCTCTGCCCCATCAAATGGCATTTAGGTCTAGGAAGCAGGTGTGGGCGGGGCCTTAGGGCGAGGCACAGACATACCCCGAAGTGGTTGGATTGTAGACCGCAAGGGGCTGGATCGAACCCCCAAAAGACACTGGAAGGCTGTGTGGCTGAGGAGGGTCCAGCAGGTCCAGTGTTTCGTAGGCTTTACAGGAAGGAGCTCCACTTTCTCAAGAGTGTGCAGATGCGATCTAGGTGTGTCCACCCGATGGGAGTTGTGGGGCCGGGCGGATGCTGCCCCAGTACAAAGCTGATTTGGACCTAGGGCCTCTGGACTTCCCTGATTCTCTGCTTGCATCTCCAGCAAACTCCTGTCCCGTTGGCTGCCTTCATCCACTCTCTCACCTCTCTGCCTTCAGAGTAAAATTGCAAGATCTGTGGTGCTTACTGGGATCTGATAGAGTCTCTCGGCATGCACTGTCTATGCATCGGGGATCCACGTGCATCAGGGGTCCCTGTGCAGTGTGTGCCTCTTCTTAGCCATGCTGGACAGCACCACCCCTGAAAAGCAGCTCCCCTGTTTACCCAGAAAGCCGTCCAGAACCTCCTGGAAAAGGTGGCCTGATAGCAGTGGCCTCGGATGCCAGGCTCAATCCTTTGAACTTTTCCTGTGGGCTGTCAGGACCCATAGAAGGTCTTTGAGCAGGTGAGTTTGGAGCAGACCTGGTAGGCAAGCGAACAGGTGGATGCATGCACTGGAGATTCCATGGGCTCCCTTGTGGACATCTCTTCCCTTTGGAAAACTGCCCTGAGTGAAGGTCTAAGGGCAGGGTTTGCATTGAAATCCTAGCTTTGCTGCTGTCAGCCCAACTTTTAGGCAACAGGGTCTTGGTTAGATGTGACATTTCCAAGTCCATCTTGTATCACAGCCTGTCAGCTGCAGCTCACTCATTCAATCTATTGTGGTTCAAGTTCCCAAGAAAAGGAATCGGTCTGGTCTACTCTCCAGGCCAGATTACATTTACTTGCCTAGAAATTGTCTGCCCTTAACTCAAGACTTTGCACTGTGGTTCGCATTTGTAATCCCAATACTTTGGGATGCCAAAGCAGGAGTATTGCTTGAGCCCAGGAGTTAAAGACCAGCCAGGGAAATATAACAAGACCCTATCTCTACAAAAATTAAAATTAGGTTGGGTGCAGTGGCTCATGCCTGTAATCCCAGCACTTTGGGAGGCCGAGGCGGGTGGATCATCTGATGTCAGGAGTTCGAGACCAGCCTGACCAACATGGTAAAACCCCATCTCTACTAAATACAAAAAGTTAGCTGGATATGGTGGCGCAGGCCTGTAATCCTACTTGGGAGGCTGAGGCAAGAGAATCACTTGAACTCGGGAGGCGGAGGTTGCAGTGAGCCAAGATTGCCCCATTGCAGTCCAACCTGGGCAACAAGAGCGAAACTCCCTCTCAAAAAAAAAAAAAAAAAAAATTAAAATTAGCCAGGTGCATGCCAGTGGTGCATGCTTGTGGTCCCAGCAACTTGGGAGGCTGAAGTGGGAGGATTGCTTGGGCCTGGGATTGAAACCACAGTGAGCCAACATTGTACCACTGCATTCCAGCCTGGACAACAGAGTAAGACCCTGTCTCAAAAAAAAAAAAAAAGAAAGAAAAGAAAAGAAAAAAGACTTTGCCCTTGAGTCAAGACTTTACCCTTGGCTAAGATGGATGCAGGAGGTGACATAGTACAAAATGCTGCAGCAGAGCGTGTGTATGTGCTGGAGGAGGAGTGGACTAGGCCAGTGATTGACATCTCCGTTCCAGATATGTACTTACCTTCCCTGCTGGGCCCCTCCATATAGGAGCATTACACGCTCATTCGCTGCTTACAATAGGCTTGGCTATAGGACTTGCTTTGGCCAGTGGAATATGAGTATTGACCGGGCACAGTGGCTCACACCTGTAATCCCAGCACTTTGGGAGGATGAGGCAGGTAGATCACCTGAGGTCAAGAGTTCGAGACCAGTCTGGCCAACATGGTGAAACCCTATCTCTACTAAAAGTACAAAATTAGCCAGGCATGGTGGCACAGACCTGTAATCCCAGCTGCTAGGAAGGCTGAGGCAGGAGAATCATTTGAACCCCGGAAGGCGGAGGTTGCATGAGCCCCGATCATGCTATTGCTCTCCAGCCTGGACAAAAAGTGAAACTCCATCTCAAAAAAAAAAAAAAAAAAAAGGTAAAGTATCACTTCCACATAGAAGCTTTAGGCACCATTGAGTACTCTAGCAGTTTCCCATCTCTTCTCCCTCTGCTCAGGCTCATAAACCTGGCAGTTTCCAGATCTAGACTTCTCTTTCAGCCTGCAACCCAGAATGACAATTACGTGAAGCTGGGCTACAGCCTACCTGTAAAATGATAAGGAATTTAAGAAATAAATCTCTCTTGCTGTGAGCCATTGATATATGGAGGTTGTTTGTTAGCACATCCGAATGTTTAAACAAACTGTTACAGAATTAGTACCCAGAAATGGTGTGCTGCAACAATAAAAAATAAGCCTAGGCCAGGCATGGTGGCTCACACCTGTAATCCCTGCATTTTGGGAGGCCAAGGCAGGTGGGTCACCTAAGGTTAAGAGTTTGAAACCAGCCTGGCCAACATGACAAAACCCTGTCTCTACTAAAAAAAAAAAAAAAAAATTAGCTAGGCATGGTGATAGGTGCCTGTAATCCCAGCTAGAGGCTGAGGCAGGAGAATCACTTGGACCCAGGAGGCAGAGGTTGCAGTAAGCTAAGATTGCGCCACTGTACTCCAGCCTGGATGATGGAGTGAGACTTCATCTAAAAAAATTAAAAAGTAAAAATAAAATATTATAAATTAGCCGGGTGTGGTGGCATGTGCCTGTAGTCCCAGCTACTTGGGAGGCTGAGATGGGAGGATCACTTGAGCCCAGGTGGCAAAGGTTGCAGTGAGCCAAGATTGCGCCACTGCACTCCAGCCTGGTTCAAAAAAAAAAAAAAAAAAAAAAAACCCAGCCAGGCACGGTGGCTCATGCCTGTAATCCCAGCACTTTGGGAGGCCGAGGCGGGTGGATCACCTGAGGTCAGGATTTTGAGACCAGCCTGGCAAACATGGTGAAACCCTGTCTCCACTAAAAATACAAAAATTAGCCGGGAGTGGTGGCACGCACCTGTAATCCCAGCTACTCAGGAGGCTGAGGCTGGAGAATCGATTGAACCTCAGATGCGGAGGTTGCTGTGAGCCAACATTGAGCCACTGCACTCCAGCCTGGGCGACAGAGCAAGCCTCTGTCTCAATAAATAAATAAATAAATAAATAAATAAATAAATAAATAAACTATGTAAACTATGAGACATTGAAGTTGAGCTGGACAGTGGCTGGTAAGGGAACTGTCATTGGAAGTTGGAAAGATGGTGACATGTGTTATGCAATGGTGAAGGGTTTGGTTAAACTGTAAGCTTATAACCAAATGAGCTTTAGGCTTTAAGTAAAGAACTGGGGAAAGGGAATATTGGTAGCATGCTGTTGCTGCTGTTGCATGCATTTGAGGAGTTACTGGAAGAAAGAGATGACTCAGAAATTAATTGGTCAGTTTTTAAGCAGAAATGGAAGAGAATATAGAAACTTGAGGCAAGTGATCCACATTTTTAACCAGTAAAAGATACAACTGAGAAAGTCCTTGAGCCACAAGGGTTTTTAAATTTCTTTTTTTTTTTTTTTTTTTTGAGACAGAGTCTCGCTCTGTCGCCCAGGCTAGAGTGCAGTGGCGCAATCGGGGCTCACTGCAAGCTCCGCCTCCTGGATTCACGCCATTCTCCTGCCTCAGCCTCCCAAGTAGCTGGGACTACAGGCGCCCGCCACTCGCCTGGCTAGTTTTTTGTTGTTGTTGTTGTTGTTGTTGTTGTTTTTTAAGTAGAGACAGGGTTTCACTGTGTTAGCCAGGATGGTCTCCATCTCCTGACCTTGTGATCCGCCCACCTCGGCCTCCCAAAGTGCTGGGATTACAGGCTTGAGCCACCGCGCCTGGCCGAGCCACAAGGTTTTTGTTTTGTTTATTTATTTATTTATTTTTTTTTGAGACGGAGTCTTGCTCTGTCACCCAGGCTGGAGTGCAGTGGCCGGATCTCAGCTCACTGCAAGCTCCGCCTCCCGGGTTTACGCCCATTCTCCTGCCTCAGCCTCCCGAGTAGCTGGGACTACAGGCGCCCGCCACCTCGCCCGGCTATTTTTTTGTATTTTTTAGTAGAGACGGGGTTTCACCGTGTTAGCCGGGATCGTCTCTCGATCTCCTGACCTCGTGATCCGCCCGTCTCGGCCTCTCAAAGTGCTGGGATTACAGGCTTGAGCCACCGCGCCCGGCCTGTTTTGTTTTTTGAGACACAGTCCTGCTCTTGTTTCCAAGGCCACCTTCTGGGTTCAAGCCTTTCTCCTGACTCAGTCTGCCGAGTAGCTGGGATTACAGGTGTGCACCACCACGCCCAGCTAATTTTTGTATTTTCTGTAGAGATGGGTTTCACCATGTTGGCCAGGCTGGTCTTAAACTTCTGACCTCAAGTGATCCTCCCACCTCGGCCTCCCAAAGTGCTGGGATTACAGGTGTCAGCCACTGCCACTGGTTGAGCTACAAGGTTTGATTAAAAGTCATCTTTGTGGAAAGGGCCATATCAAGTATGTGGCTATTATGTCCTTTGTAAAAATCTCCAAACTGATCAAAGTGGTTCCCAATAAATCCTCTCAGCTAGTCAAGATGATTCGGAGAAAAGAGGTTAAGAGTGTAGCTCATCTTGGCCAGGCGCAGTGGCTCACGCCTATAATTCCAGCACTTTGGGAGGCTGAGGCGGGCGGATCACGAGGTCAGGAGATCGAGACCAGCCTAGCTAACACGGCGCAACCCCGTCTCTACTAAAAATACAAAAAATTAGCTGGGCGTGGTGGCGGGCGCCTGTAGTCCCAGCTTCTCATAAGGCTGAGGCAGGAGAATGGTGTGAACCCAGGAGGCGGCGGAGCTTGCAGTGAGCGGAGGTCATGCCACTGCACTCCAGCCTGGGCGACAGAGTGAGACTCGGTCTCAGAAAAAAAAAAAAAAGAAAACAATTATGGGTATGCTGTTGACCCACGGATCTGAATGGAGTAAAATATATAAGTTCGGTTTTGGAGGGAATTGCCCTGCTTCCACTGCCTAACACCCCCTCACCCTGACAGAAAGACACCACGTTAAATTTTGACCATGAGTGTTCAAGACTTAGTACGACTTTTAGGTCCCCAAATTTCTTTTTTTTTTTTGAGATTGGGTCTCACTGTGTCACCCAGCCTGGAGTGCAGTGAGGCAACCACAGCTCACTATAACCTCGAACTTCTGGTCTCACACAATCCTCCTGCCTCAGCCTCCCAAGTAGCTGGGACTGCAGGCCCATGCCACCCCAACAGGCTAATTTTTGTTTTTTGGGTTTTTTTTGAAACAAAATCTCATTCTCACCCAGGCTGAAGTACAGTGGCATGATCTTGGCTCACTGCAACCTTCACTTCCTGGGCTTGAGTGATCCACCTACCTCAGCCTTCCAAGTAGCTGGGACTACAGGTATGTGCCACCATGCCCGGCTAATTTTTGTATTTTTTTGGTAGAGACAGGGTCTTGCTATGTTGCCCAGGCTGGTCTCGAACTCCTGAGCTCAAGCGATTCACCTGTCTTGGCCTCCCAAAGTGCTGGCGTTATAGGCAGGTGGTGTACCACCATGCCCAGCCTATTTTTGTTTTGTTTTGTTTTGTCTTGAGATGAAGTCTTGCTCTGTCACTCCAGCTGGAGTGCAGTGGCACAATCAAGCCTCACTGCAGCCTCCACCTCTGGGGCTCCAGTGATCCTCCCACCTCAGCCTTCTGAGTAGCTGGGACTACAGGTGTGCACCACCATGCCTGGCTAATTTTTCTATTTTTTGTAGACAGGGTTTCAGCCTGTTGCCCAAGCTGGTCTTGAACTTCTGGTCTTAAGGAGTTCTCCCTCCTTGGCTTCCCAAAGTGATGGAATTACAGGTGTGAGCCACCATGCTCAGCCTAATTTTTCTATTTCAGGTTTTTAATTTTTATTTGGTAGAGATGGGGGTCTCGGTATGTTGCCCAGGCTGGCTTCAAGCGATCCTGGCCTCAAGTGATACTCCTGCCTCAGCCTCTCAAAGTGCTGTGATTACAGGTGTGAGCCACCATGCCGGGCCTGGGTCTCTCTATTTATTTATTTATTTATGTTTTCTTTTCTTTTGAGACGGAGTCTTGCTCTGTCGTCCAGGCTGGAGTGCAGTGGCACGATCTCGGCTCACTGCAAGCTCCGCTTGCTGGGTTCACGCCATTCTCCTGCCTCAGCCTCCTGAGTAGCTGGGACTACAGGCACCCGCCACCACGCCTGGTTAATTTTTTTGTGTATTTTTAGTAGAGACAGGGTTTCACCATGTTCGCCAGGATGGTCTCGATCTCTTGACCTTGTGATCCGCCCACCTCAGCCTCCCAAAGTGCTGGGATTACAGGTGTGAGCCACCACACCTGGCCATGGGTCTCCAAATTTCTATGGGCATGAAGGAGACTGAGAAAGCTACTGTACTTCAGAAAGACATAACCTCCAGTGTCCTCTCAGTTGTGGCCAAGGAGAATAAGCGGAAAAGGGTGGTTCACTCTAAGGGCAGAGCCAAGAATGTGGTGAAGAATGAACTGGGGAACTCTTCCCACTCCCAGGGAAAGGTGGGGTTCTTCTCAACATCTGCCTAACAGCACTTTAGACTTACTGGGGACCAGAGCCTGCTGTGTGTCTCCCGTCCTTTCTTCTTCTTCTTCTTTCTTCTTCTTTCTTCTTCTTTCTTCTTCTTTCTTCTTCTTTCTTCTTTCTTCTTCCTCTTCCTCTTCCTCTTCCTCTTCCTCTTCCTCTTCTTCTCTTCTTCTTCTTCTTCTTCTTCTTCTTCTTCTTCTTCTCTTCTTCTTCTTCCTTCTTTTCTTCTTCTTCTTCTTCTTCTTCTTCTTCTTCTTCTTCTTCTTCTTCTTCTTCTTCTTCTTCTTCTTCTCCTCCTCCTCCTCCTCCTCCTCCTCCTCCTTCTCCCTTCTCCCTTCTTCTCCTTCTCCCTTCTCCCTTCTTCCTTCTTCTTCTTCCTCCTTCTTCTTCCTCCTTCTTCCTTCTTCTTCTTCTTTTTTTTTTTTTGAGACAGAGTTTCACTCTTGTTGCCCAGGTTGGAGTGCAATGGCACTATCTTGGCTCACTGCAACCTCTGCCTCCTGGGTTCCAGCGATTCTCCTGTCGCAGCCTCCTGAATAGCTGGGACTACAGGCGCCCGCCACCACGCCCGGCTAATTTTTTGTATTTTTAGTAGAGATCGGGTTTCACTATGTTGGCCAGGCTGGTCTCGAACTGCTGACCTCATGATCTGCCCCCCTCGGCCTCCCAAAGTGCTGGAATTACAGACGTGAGCCACCGTGCCTGGCTAAATTTTGTTTTCACCATGTTGGCCAAGGTGGTCTCAAACTCCTGACCTCAGGTGATCCACTGGCCTTGGCCTCCCAAAGTGCTGGGATTACAGGTATGAGACTCCGTGCCAGGCCCCGTCCCTCCTTCTGAACAGGAGTGTGCTCTGCCGTTCTCCTGTCCTTGTTCTGCTTTGTATGTTGGATGTGTGCATGCATATGTGTGTGTGTGTAGAAATGGGACAGAGATAACTTGTCTCTGTCTCTCTTTTATTTTGTAGCTCATAGGTCTCTGAATCAAGAGAAGCTGCATCTGGACCTGATATAGAAGAGACTATTAGAGATCCTGGGCTTGAGGCTGATTCCATGTCAGATGGGTCACTTAGGTGGTCTCCCTTCGGAAGGGGATGCATTTATTTTGCATATGGAAGAAAATGCAAAGGCAGTATTTGTAAGGAAGAGGGCAGACGGGGGAAGATTTTATAATTGTTCAAAAACATTCACTGGGCTGGGTGCGGTGGCTCATGCCTATAATCCCAGTGCTTTGGGAGGGTGAGGCAGGAGGATCACTTGAGGCTGAGTTTGAGACCAGCATGGGCAACATAGTGAGACCCTATCTCTACAAAAAATAAAACAATAAAAAAAAATTAGCTGGGCGTGGTGGTGCTTGCCTGTAGTCGTAGCTACAGGCTGAGGTGGGAGGATCGCTTAAGCTCAGGAGGTAGAGGCTGCAGTGAGTTATGATTGCACCATGCACCCATGCACTCCAGCCTGGGCAACACAAGAAGACACTGACTCTAAACAACCAACAAAACAAAATCACATGTATTCACTGGCCCTCTCTTTGGGGACCTGCTATATGTTAGGCAGGGATTTAGACCCAACATGGTGGTACCACCTGACATGGCAGGCCCCTTGTCGGGACTTTACCCGCTGAGACTTCCTGCTAGGACTTTTCAGTGCACGAAAAGCACCCTGAGCTCGCCAAAACTCCCCGCTCTGCTCTGCGCAAACTCCTGGACACGTCATTCCTCAGAAATCGAAACCTAACTCAGGAAACCGAAACCTACAGACCCCGCCTACCTCGCCCTATAAAAGGCCGGATACCTGCCCTGCCTGCGACTTCCTCGGCCCTCCTCCTAGGGGACCGGTGAACCTCGCCCGCAAGCCCAATAAAGGCTACCTCTGTTCTCATCTGCCTCATGTCTTCTTGCTCAGCTCCCCATTACATTGGTGCCGAAACCTGGGAGGAGACCCCTCCCCAGACCCCTGCCGGTTCGGGCAGGCTCTCCTCTCCCTGAGCCAGGACCTCCTCTCTGAGCCGGGAGATGTTTTACCAAATCCAAGACTCAGTTCGATCACTGCTGGGTAAGTTTTCCCCCGTCCTGCAGGCTCCAGAAGTCCATGCCCAAAAACGCGGCCGCGTCAGGGCTTCCCCCGTCCATCACTTGTGACCTTGGCACCGGGGACTAGGAGACGTCTGACCTCCCTGGAAGCTGCCATACCCTGCACTCCGCGTGGCAGTGAGAGGATGCTCCCGTTGCCTCCGGACTGCTCGCCTCAGGATCATGGGGGCTGCCCAGTCCAAACCAGACCCAAAATCCCTCTGGGGTGCCTCTTGGCTAATTTCCAGACTTTAGGTCTCAGCCAAGACCTAAAACGAAAGCGGCTTATTTTCTTCTGCACAGTGGCATGGCCGCAGTATAAATTGGATAATCAGTCTCAGTGGCCTGCAGAAGGCACTCTAGACTTTAACATCCTCATAGATCTGACCAACTTCTGCAAGAGACTAGGCAAATGGTCTGAGGTACCCTATGTTCAGGCCTTTCGGGACTTGCGCTCCTGCCCAGACCTCTGTGCGCAATGTTCGTTGGCCCAGGTCTTGCTCACGAAATCTACTTCCTCAAGCAAGGAAAAGGACGATTCTTCCTCCTTCTCTGAGCCCCCAATACTCTTTCCCTACCCCTCCTTCAGTCCCCCGCTCAACCTCCCCCTTACTCTGACCCGTCGTTGTCTCCGTCCTTGTCGGCGCCACCCCTTCCCTCCACTCCTCCTGTGTCCCCACCAAACCTGACGGACCCTGTCTCTCCTCCCTCCTCCTCCTGCTCGCCTGTCTCAGCCCATACCCGGTCCAGGACTGACCTCCTGTGCCCCTTGCGGGAAGTGGCAGGCGCCGAAGGAGTGGTCCGGGTCTATGTGCCGTTTTTGCGGGCAGACCTGTCTAAGATTGAAGAGCATGTAGTCTCTTTCTCAGCCAACCCCACTCTGTATATCAAAGAGTTCAGATACCTATGCCAGCATATGACCTCACCTGGCATGATCTCCATGTCATTATAACCTCAACCCTGTCCCCTGAGAAACGGGAGCATATCCTAGCAGCAGCCAGGAAGCATGATGACCAGGTTCATTTAACTGACCCTGCCATGCCAGTCAGCACCAAGGCGGTGCCCTCTGCCGAGCCTGGCTAGGACTACCAGGTTGGGCAGGCAGGCTGCTGCCACCGAGACATGATGGTCCAGTGCCTTCTTGCCAGCATGCAGGCAGCCTCCAATAAGTCAGTCAACTTTGATAAATTAAAGGAGGTAGTCCACGGCTCAAATGAAAATCTGGCCGTTTTTCTTAACCGACTGACTGAGGCACTCATTCAGTACACCCGCCTTGACCCTGCCTCCCCCGCAGGAGGAACCGTCTTGGCTACGTACTTTATTTCTCAGTCGGCTCCGGATAGCTGGAAAAAATTTAAAAAGGTGGAGGATGGCCCTCAAACTCCCATCCAGGATTTAGTCAAACTGGCCTTCAAGGTCTACAACTCCAGGGAGGAAGCAGCTGAGGCCCAGCAACAGGCCAGGCTAAAACAGAAGGTACAACTCCAAACCCAGGCCTTGGTGGCAGCCCTGAGGCCGGCAGGCTCCAGGAGCTCTCAGAGAGGAGGTACTCCCCGAGCGCCACCTGGTGCCTGCTTCAAGTGCAGCAACAAAGGCCACTGGGCCAAGCAGTGCCCCAACCCTAAGGAACCAACTCGCCCCTGTCCAAGCTGTGGGCAGATGGGCCATTGGAAGTCAGACTGCCCCAACCTGAGGACGGTCGCTACGCCTCCACATGACGACCCTCCTCCAGGTACTGGAGGCGTCTTCCAGCTCCTCGACACCGACAAAGATTGAAGAGGCCCAGACTCAGGAACCTCTCTTACTCTCGCCGAGCCCAGGGTTATGCTCCAGGTAGCGGGTAAGTCCATAGCCTTCCTTATGGATACGGGGGCTACCTACTCTGTTTTGCCTTCCTTCAGTGGCCCCAGCCATCCCTCTGTTGTCAGGGTCATGGGAATTGATGGCACTCCCTCCATCTACCGCCAGACTCCTCCTCTGTCTTGCCGCCTGGATGGCTCCCTCTTCTCGCACTCATTTCTTATCATTCCTTCATGCCTAGTCCCCTTGTTAGGACGAGACCTCCTCTCTAAGCTAGGGGCCTCAGTTCACTTCCGGCCCAACCCCTCCCCGCACCTCGCGCTCCTCTTTCCCCTCCTCTCACCTGATAAACCCCACCAGGCTGACACCCCACTCCTGTTTCCGGTCCCCATTAACCCTAAGGTGTGGGACACCTCCACCCTGATCATTGCCCAGCACCATACTCCAGTCCGCATCCAGCTGAAGGACCCCTCCAAGTTTCCCTCTAGACCCCAGTTCCCTATCTCCCTTGAGCACCGACAGGGACTAAAACCCATCATCACATGCCTGCTCCAGCAGCACATTCTAGTCCCTGCCAACTCACCATGCAATACTCCTATCCTGTCTGTAAAGAAAAGCTCCGGGGCCTACCACCTCATGCAGGATCTACGCCTCATCAATGAGGCAGTAGTCCCCACCTTTCCAGTTGTTCCTAACCCATATACACTTCTCTCGCGCATTCCCCCTGATACCACTCATTTTACTGTCCTTGACCTAAAGGATGCCTTCTTCACCATTCCCCTGCATCCCGACTGACACTTTCTTTTTGCCTTTACATGGGAAGATCCAGACACTCATATTTCTTCCCAGCTGACTTGGACTGTTTTGTCTCAAGGGTTCCAAGATAGCCCCCATTTTTTTGGACAGGCACTGGCACAGGATGTTAGCCTCTGTCCCCTTACCCACAGCATACTATTGCAATATGTAGATGACTTATTACTATGTAGTCCCTCCTGGGAGAGCTCCCTTGCAGATACTGCTACACTTTTAAATTTTCTTGGTGACCGAGGTTATCGGGTTACCCCGGCCAAGGCTCAGCTTTGCACCCCTTCTGTCACCTACCTAGGTATACTCCTCAGACCCACTACAAAAAGCCTCACGGCGGATAGAATAAGCCTCATTGAAACTCTCCAGCCTCCTCAGGATGCGGAAGAGATCTTGTCCTTCCTAGGACCGGTAGGGTATTTCAGGCATTGGATTCCCAACTTCGGGGTCCTAGCCAAGCCCCTCTACCAGGCTGCCAAGGAAGCGCCCACCGGACTGCTGTCCGATCCCTTATTGGTTGCCAACTCTTTCAAGAAGCTTCAGGACTGTCTCCTTTCTGCCCCTGCTCTCTCTCTCCCCAACCCCCTTCGGCCTTTCCATCCATTCACTGAGGAGCGCCAAAAGGTTACTACTGGCCTCCTAGCCCAGCCGGTTGGATCCACATACCAGGCTGTGGCCTATCTCTCCAAGCAGTTAGACCCCATGGTCCAGGGCTGGCAACCTTGTCTGCGAGCCCTGGCGGCTGCCACAGAACTTACCAAGGAGGCCCTCAAGATCACCCTAGGACATTCTCTTACTGTCTACTCTTCTCACCAACTGTCAGATCTCATCACACACAAGTGTCTCAGCCACCTCACCCCGTCCCGGCTTCAACAGTTTCACCTGCTATTCATTGAAAACCCTCACATCACCCTTACCACCTCATCCCCTCTAAACCCTGCTACCCTCTTGCCCACTCCAGGGTGCGATTCCGCCCCCGCATATTCGTGCCTGGAGGTTCTCACCACCTTGCCGCCCTCCCACCACAGTCTTTCCGAACAGCCATTAGAACACCCAGACCATACCCTGTTCGTGGACGGGAGTTCTGTTTTAACCTCTGATGGCTGCCAGCAGGCGGCCTACGCTGTTGTAACAGCAACCCAGACGGTCGAAACCAGGCCCTTGCCTTTAGGCACCACCTCCCAGAAGGCTGAAGTCACTGCCCTTACTCGTGCCCTACTCCTCTCCAAAGGGCAGAGGGTTAATATCTACACAGACTCTAAATATGCCTACCTTATTGCACAGACCCACTCCCTTCTCTGGCAAGAGCGTGGGTTCCTTACCACCAAAGGGATGCCAGTAGTCAATGGACCACTTATAAAGAGGTTGCTTGATGCTCTCCAGGCCCCCAAGAAGGTAGCCATCATCCACTGTAAAAGCCACCAGCATTCTAAGGATCCTGTGTCGCAGGGTAACAACCTAGCTGATTCCACCGCACGGGCCACCGCCCTCACTTCCTCCCCTACCCCAGTGCCTTTACTCTTTCTTTCCCCCACATATTCCCCCGACTACTCTCCCCAGGAACTTCAAACCCTGATGGCCCATCCCAGTGCTACCCAGAGCGAGGATGGGTGGGTGTTCATTGACAGCTGAGTAGCGCTCCCCCAGACTCAGGCAGTGTGTATATTGACCGACATACACCACTCTCTCCACATAGGGCCTAAGGCTATGTATAACTTCCTGGGGCCCATCCTTCACCTCCCCTCACTGCAGGCCCAAATTAGGAAGGTACATCAGTAATGTGCCACCTGTTCGGCCGTTAACCCCCAAGGTAGGCTCAGGCACCCAGGGCCCACTCATCAGCTAAGGAGCCACCAGCCAGGGGAAGATTGGAAACTTGATTTTACCCACATGCCCCGCCATAAAAAATTCCGCTACCTGCTGACCTTGGTTGACACCTTCTCAGGATGGATCGAGGCTTTCCCCATCACCTGAGAAACTGTGGAGTTCGCGGCAACCACTCTCCTAGAGCACATCATCCCCAGGTTTGGTCTCCCCCGAACCATCCAATCAGACAATGGTCTGGCCTTCATTTCTAAACTCACCCAGCAGGTGGTGGCCGCACTCCAGATTACCTGGAAGCTCCACATTCCCTACCATCCACAGTCATCTGGAAAGGTAGAACGTGCAAACAGTCTCCTTAAACTTCATCTAACCAAACTCACTCTAGAAACCCACCTCTCGTGGGTGACTCTCCTTCCCTTGGCTCTCACTCGTCTTAGGGCAGCTCCGCGGGCCCCCACAGGGCTCAGCTGTTTTGAGCTGCTGTACAGACGCCCATTCCTCTTCCAGGAGCTGCTAGCCCTCTCCCCTTCCTTAGGCTCCTACCTCCCTTACTTAACCCTCCTTCGCGAGCTTCTGAGAAAACACGCGGACTGGTGTCTCCCTGCACCCGCTTCCCCAACCCTTGAGAATCCCACCGTCACAGTACCTGGAGACCTGGTCCTGGTCAAGCAGCTGCAACCCCAAGCCTTATCTCCATGGTGAGAAGGACCATACACCGTAATCCTCACCACTCCCACCGCTGCCAAGCTCCTTGGTCTTCCCTTCTGGTATCACCTGTCCCAGCTGAAAAAGGCGCCCACCCAACATGATTACAATTGGACCATTCAGGTTGTTACCCCTACCAAGTTATGACTCATGCACGCAGGTAACGACCCTCTGCCTAACCTTCCTCGGCCACCTAGTCCTCCCGAGTCTAGGTGAGACTCCTGCCCAAACTCCTCCCACCAATCCATTCCAGTGGAGGTTCTACCTTTCCGAGACCTAGACCCAGGGAAATCACATGAGCTCCCTCACCATAGCCACAGTAGACTGCCAACCCCAGGGGTGCCAAAGCCAAGTAACCTTTAATTTCTCCTCCTTCAACAGTGTGCTCCGTACTTGGCGGCACCCAGCCATTTGTTTCACATATGATCAGACATACGATGCCTGTCGATCTACTTGGTTGAAACCAATGGAGGCTTCCATTACTACTACTGCAACATTCACTCGGCCATACAGGACACCAAAGAAACCCTCTGGCAGCAGCCCACTTCCTCCGTGCGGCTGACTACAAACCTCAAGTCTATCTTTTTCCTCACCATCCCTGACCCTTGGGCATCAGGGGTTGAGGCCCGCCTTTACCGAGGGCAGAGTGAGTCTTATCCCATGGCCCGACTCAGGATCTTTAAGGCCTACATCAGGGTCGTAAGCAGCCTTGTCAGCCTGGCCGCTGACATCAGACAACAGGAGGAAGCCATCTCAGCTCTAGTCGACCCAGGCAGCAAGCCCCAGGACAGCAGCAACCCTTTTTCCTTGCTAACCTTAGTCAGGGAAGGGGCTCAAGTGGTACACATGGCCGGGGTACACAACATCTCTCGCTGTTTCCTGTGTGCAGCCTTGAATAAGCCCCCACTGGTTGCAGTACCCTTACCCAGCCCTTTTAACTCCTCTAACCTAACCCTCTCCTCCCCTCTCCCCGGCCGGACCCCAGGAGAAGTCCCCTTGTTTCAAGACCCGCTTAGGCAACAATTCCCCTTTTGCTACTCCACCCCCAATGCTTCCTGGTGCAACCAGACAGGATCTGCACCTCTAAATCTAACCGCCCCTCCAGGTGGGTATTTTTGGTGCAATTCCACCCTGTCAAAAACCCTCCATGCCCCCAACACTGCCCTATGCGTTCCCATCTTCCTAGTCCCCAGCCTCACGCTGTACAGTGAGGCCGAGCTATCCTCCCTCCTGCCCTCTGCCCACCCCGCCAGGCAAGGGCAGTATTCCTTCCATTGATGATCGGGGTCTCTTTAGCCTCATCCCTGGTAGCCTCCGGCCTAGGAACCGGAGCCCTAACTCATTCTGTCCAGGCCTCTCAGGACCTTTCAGCCCGATTACAGGTAGCAATCGAAGCTTCTGCGGAGTCCTTGGCTTCCCTCCAACAGCAGATCACCTCAGTCACCCAGGTGGCAGCCCAGAACTGTCGGGCACTCGACCTCCTTACAGCCGCTAAGGGCGGCACCTGCATGTTCTCAATGAAGAATGTTGCTACTACATCAGTGAATCAGGACTAGTAGAAACCAATCTCCTCACTCTAGAAAAGATTCAGGAAGGGCTCCACCAGAGAAACCTCAGATCAGGGCCCTCATTTGGGTGGTGGCAGTTGTCTATAGCTGGTTGGGTCCTACCCTTTCTAAGCCCCTTACTAATCATTGGCTTCTTGCTACTCATAGCTCCCTGTGTCCTCCGCTTCGTCCAGGACCACATAAAGGAAGTCTCCCGGGTCACTGTCAGTCAGATGCTACTCCACCCCTATACCCGAGTTCTGACCTCCGAAGAACCCCACAATGACCTATACCAGCAGGAAGCAGCCAGAGGAACACGTCGCCCCTTTTTCTTATTAGAAAGAAGTCGGAATGTTAGGCAGGGACCTAGACCCAACATGGCGGTACCACCTGACATGGCGGGCCCCTTGTCAGGACTTTACCCGCTGGGACCTCCTGCTAGGACTTTTCAGCGCGCGAAAAGCACCCTGAGCCCGCCAAAACTCCCCGCTCTGTGCAAACTCCTGGGCACCTCATTCCTCAGAAACCGAAACCTACAGACCCCGCCTACCTCGCCCTACAAAAGGCCCCTGATACCTGCCCTCCGTGTGACTTCCTCGGCCCTCCTCCTAGGGGACCAGTGAACCTCGCCCGCGAGCCCAATAAAAGCTACCTCTGTTCTCATCTGCCTCGTGTCTTCTTGCTCGGCTCCCCATTACATTACACTATATAGAATGGTTTTAAGTCCCCAGTTCACTGACATCAGGTTTGGCTATATGGCTTGCTTTAGACCATGAACTTTTTTTTTTTTTTTTTTTTGAGACGGAGTCTAGCTCTGTTGCCCAGGCTGGAGTGCAATGGCCGGATCTCAGCTCACTGCAAGCCCCGCCTCCCGGGTTCACGCCATTCTCCTGCCTCAGCCTCCCGAGTAGCTGGGAGTACAGGCGCCCGCCACCTCGCACGGCTAATTTTTTTTGTATTTTAGTAGAGACGGGGTTTCACCGTGTTAGCCAGGATGGTCTCGATCTCCTGAACTCGTGATCCGCCCGTCTCGGCCTCCCAAAGTGCTGGGATTACAGGCTTGAGCCACCGCGCCCGGCCTAGACCATGAACTTTGAGTGGAAATGACATGTGCCACTTCCAAGAGGAAGCTTTAAGAGCCGTCATGGGGTCTGCTACCTTTCCTCTCTTCTGTGTCTGGAGACGAAAAGTTTCAGCTTGAGGCTTTCCTTCAGACTGGGCTCTGGAATGAAGATAGCATTGAACAGAGCGGTCCCATGGAGGACATGGATGTGAGTGAGAAATCAACATGGTGTTGTGAGTCCCTGAGAGGTGGAGGTTGCTGTTATGCAGCCTAACTGGATCCCAGCCGATAGATGCAGCCTCCCTGTGGGTTGCAGATGCTCCTCTGTTCAGGTATCCTTTCCCATCACCATGACAACTGACACACCATAATGAGCTATGCTGATGTTAGGAAGTCTCCGCCTTTGCCCCTCTTCAGAGCTCTTCACCCTCAGGTCCTAACCAGTGAGCCTATTTCTTTTTTTTTTTTTTTGAGATGGAATCTTGTTCTGTCGCCAGGCTGGAGGGCAGTAGTGCGATCTCGGCTCACTGCAACCTCTGCCTCCTGGGTTTAAGCAAATATCGTGCTTCAGCCTCCTGAGAAGGTCTCGAACTCCTCACCTCTGGCCATCCTCCTGCGTTGGCCTCCTAAAGTGCTGGGATTACAGGCATGAACCACCGCACCCAGCGAAGCTGAGTCTTCTTGATTCTTGCTGGCATTTGGCAACTAGTAGCAGCTGCTCACAGGAATTGTAAAAACATCTGGTGGCGCCCAGACCTTCTAACATCAACATGGTGCCTAGTAAATATCAATCTCACATGCATCCTGAGACGCATTAAAAAGAAGTTGTCTGGGTGCAGCACACCAACATGGCACAAGTATACATATGTAATAAACCCGCACGTTATGCACATGTACCCTACAACTTAAAGTATAATAATAACAAAAAAAAAAAAAACAAGAAGTTGTCCAGGCCGGGTGCGGTGGCTCACGCCTGTAATCCCAGCACTTTGGGAGGCCAACGGGGTGGATCACCTGAGGTTAGGAGTTTGAGACCAGCCTAGTCAACATGGTGGAACCCCATCTCTACTTAAAAGAAAAAAAAAAAAAGTCTGGGCGCGGTGGCTCACGCCTGTAATCCCAGCACTTTGGGAGGCTGAGGCGGGCGGATCACGAGGTCAGGAGATCGAGACCATCCTGGCGAACATGGTGAAACCCCGTCTCTACTAAAAAATACAAAAAATTAGTCAGGTGTGGTGCCAGGCGCCTGTAGTACCAGCTACTCAGGAGGTTGAGGCAGGAGAATGGCGTGAACCCGGGAGGCGGAGCTTGCTGTGAGCCGAGATCGCGCCACTGCACTCCAGCCTGGGCCACAGAGCCAGACTCCGTCTCAAAAAAAAAAAAAAAAAAAAAAAAAATTAGCCAAGTGTGATGGTCACGCCTGAAAACCCAGCTACTCGGGAGGCTGAGGCAGGAGAATTGCTTGAACCCTGGAAGCAGAGGTTGCAGTGAACTGAGATTGTGTCACTGCACTCCAGCCTGGGTGACAAGAGCGAAACTCCATCTCAAACACAAAACAAAACAAAAAGAATCCTAATAGTAAGTGAAAATTCTGAATTAGTTTGTGTATGTGTATTGCTGCATATAACAGAGACCCAAATTAACTGTGACTTAAATAGATTTTTTTTTTTGAGATGGAGTCTCGCTCTGTCACCCAGGCTGGAGTGCAGTGGTGCGATCTTGGCTCACTGCAAGCTCCGCCTCCCGGGTTCATGCCATTCTCCTGCCTCAGCCTCCTGAGTAGCTGGGACCACAGGCGCCTGCCATCATGCCCGACTAGTTTTTTTGTAGTTTTAGTAGAGATGGGGTTTCACCGTGTTAGCCAGGATGGTCTCCATCTCCTGACCTCGTGATCCACCCACCTGGGCCTCCCAAAGTGCTGGGATTACAGGTGTGAGCTACCATGCCTGGCCTGAAGACATATTTTCTATAAGGAAATAGGTAGATTTTAATGAACAATACCCCTTTTGTGGGCAGATTCCTAAGTCCCAGGCCCTCACAAGGGGTCAGTGGGCCTGGAGATGCCAGCTCCCGGCTGCCAGAGGCACTGCTCCTCCAGGGCCACTTCAGCCCACTTTTGATCACTAAGAATCCCAAGAAGGGCACAGAGAATTTCCTTTCTTACTGCCCATGGAACCTGTTGTCACTAGACATCCTGAAACATACTTTGGGAAACTGTGTCCAAAGACCCTTCTAGTTTCAAATCTGTGGATCCAGGGGTCTCCGCTGAACCTTATCTGATGCCCAAACTCCCACCCATTCACTCCTAACCAGAACACAGAAGACGACCTGGTGCCAAAATGAAAGCTTTAATGAGTGTTACTCCTAGACAGTCATGTCTCAGCCGCTGCCAGCCTCCATTGTCCCAGCTCTCTTAGCTGGGCGACAGGTTAGCTAGTTGCTGAGGGGTAGGGATCTGGAGTCTAAAGAGCAGAGCCAGGCAAAAGGAGGTACAGGAAGCCCCCAATGGGGGCTGGGCTCCCAGAGTGTGGTGCTGGGGGTCATGGGTTTCAGGCCGGCCCCTCTTCAGGTATTCCTAGCAAAGCCGCCAGGGGCTCCAGGGGTGTGGGGGTCCCCATGGGCACAGGGTGGGTACGTTCATGCTTGCGCAGGTCGCTGGCACTCAAGAAGGCCTTGGGACAATGGGGGCAGGTGTAGGGGCGCACTGAGCTGTGAGTGCGGCTGTGTTTCCGCAGCCCAGCCCGGTCAGAGAAGCTCTTGCCACACTGGGTGCAGGGGAAGGGCCGGAGCTCCGGGTGTGAGCGCTCGTGCCGACGCAGCAGTGTCACTGTGGAGAAGGTCTCCTTGCACTCTCGGCACACAAACTGGGGAGGCTTCTCATCAGCCTCCTCACCCCCCACCTCGCCTGCCCCTTCCAGGGGACCAGGAGCCTCCCGGACGCCGGCATCTTGGCATTCCACATGCTCCACCGTCATGCCCACCACCTGCCACTGTGTGGCCATCACACCACCTGACTCCGGGGGCAGCCCTAGCAGCCCTGCTGGAGGGTCCCCTAGCCCCGCCCCTGCTGCCGGGGTGGCTGAGCCCTCGCCTGCCACGCCCACAGGCAGCGCCAACCCCACCACCAGCTCCTGTGCAGGGGGCGCCCCCGCGGCCTCACTGCTTCGATGGGTCCGCTCGTGCTTCCTCAGGCTCGATGACACCACAAAGGACTTTCCGCACGCGTTACAGTGGAAGGGGCGCTCCCCCGAATGCACCCGGCTGTGCTTCGTGAGGCTGGCACGCTCGGCAAAGGCTCGCCCGCACTCCTCGCAGCGGAAGGGCCGCTGGCCAGAGTGCACCAGCGCGTGCCGCTTGAGGTCCCAGGACGCCACGAACGTCTTGTCACACTGCAGGCACTTGAATGGCCGATCGCCGGTGTGCACGCGCCGGTGCATGGCCAGGTCCGCCGGCTGCCGGAAGTCCTTGCCGCACTTCTCGCAGTGGTACGGCTTCACTCCCTCATGCGCGCGCTGGTGGCGCCGGAAGCTCGAGGGGTCGGAGAACATACGGCCGCAGCGTGGGCACAGGAAGGGCTTCTCCCCCGAGTGTGTGCGCTCATGGCTCTGGTAGGAACTGAGCTGCGTGAAGCCCTTGCCGCAGGCCGGGCAGCGGTAGGGCTTCTGTGCTGCGTGGATGCGCTGGTGGCACGTGAGAGAGGATGAGCGGGAGAAGCTCTTCCCGCACTCGGAGCAGAGGAAGGGGCGCTCGCCGGTGTGGGACCTGCAAGTGGAGGACTCGGCATGAAGGTGACAGACCCCATAACCTGACCCCACTGCCTATCTGGGCTGTACTTTAGGGGTTCCCCAACCATCCGTGGGGGCCTAGGTTTAATCCCCTAAGAGCCACATTGCTGCACCCCAGAGAAAGAAGACTTCAGGCTGGCTGGGTGTCTATTCCAAAGACCCGTCTCTGCACATTAAAGACCAAGATATGGGCCGGGCACGGTGGCTCATGCCTGTAATTCCAGCACTTTGGGAGGCCGAGGCCAGCGGATCACGAGGTCAGGAGATTGAGACCATCCTGGCTAACATGGTGAAATCCAGTCTCTACTAAAAATACAAAAAATTAGTCGGGCGTGGTGGCAGGCGCCTGTAGTCCCAGTTACTCAGGAGGCTGAGGCAGGAGAATGGCGTGAACCCGGGAGGCGGAGCTTGCAGTGAGCCAAGATCGTGCTACTGCATTCCAGCCTGGACGGCAGAGCAAGACTCCATCTCAAAAAAAAAAAAAAAAAAAAAAAAAAAAAAGACCAAGATATGGCCAGGCGCGGTGGCTCACGCCTGTAATCCCAACACTATGGGAGGCCGAGACAGGCTGATCACCTGAGGTCGGGAGTTCAAGACCAGCCTGACCAACATGGAGAAACCCCGTCTTTACTAAAAATACAAAATTAGCCGGGAATGGTGGCGCATGCCTGTAATCCCAGCTACTCGGGAGGCTGAGGCAGGAGACTCGCTTGAATCCGGGAGGCAGAGGTTGCGGTGAGCCAAGATCACACCATCGCACTCCAGCCTGGGCAACAAGAGCGAGACTCCGTCTCAAAAAACAAACAAACAAAGAA